GCCAAGATATGCCTCTTTGGCATGAGGATTATTTGAGGCTGATTGCTTTTGATAAACTGGGACAGAGAAGGAGGCTCTGAGGAGTGGAACTTGCTTGCCCTTTGTTGAGAGACACTTACATTGTAAAGGAACTCTCCATCTGTAAAGATATCTCCCTCTCTGCCAGGAAGAAGGGGAGATGACCTTGTCTCTAGAAACTCTTAATCAATGGGGAAGGCAAGGACTTAAATCTGCATTTGTTTATTGTACTTGTCTGGTAACCTCCTGTAAGTGACTTCCCTCCCGCTCCCAACATTGGCATTTCTTTAAGGATTAAGCATCTTTCCTTAGGGTAGGAACTGATTGCTGCGCTCACCTGTGACCACCCAGTTCAAGACAATAGACTTGCCTCCTGCTATGCCCTATGAGACAGAAGACCCACTATCTGCTGTGTCCATCAAGCGCTGTGCCGACAAGGCAATCTTGTGACTATTGTGGGAGGGACATTTCAATCATATGTGAAACATCCTGTTTGGGGGGTATATAACCACGCTGTGTATCCCAATTCTTCGGTGCCCTTTCTTCCTTCGGGAAGAAAGGCCCCGGACCATGGTCCTCATAAAGCTTTGTTTAATTTTCTCCTGTTATTCTGTCGCATGTGAATTTAATTCGTTCTCTGGCCAGACGAACCCAGGTAATGCAGAGGAAAGGTATTCCTTCCCTACAATATCCAATGCAATCCCAACTAAAATCCTCGTAGAAATTGACAAACTAATTCTAAAATTTATATTGAAATGCAAAAGATCTAAATTAGCCAAGACAACTTTAAAAAGAAAAACAAAGTTGGAGAATTAACTCTTCCTGACTTCAAGGCTATTATAAATGCAAAAGTAATCAAGACTCTGGAAATGGCACAAAGATAGATAAATAGAGCAATAGAACAGACAAAGATTCCAAAAATTACGGACAGACCAACACATATGGACAAGTGGTTTTTGACAAAGGTGCAAAGACAGTTCAGAGGAAAAAGAATATTCTTTTCAACAAATGGTTGGAAAAATGGATATCCATATGCAAAAAGAAAGAACTTCAATGCATATCTCATGCCATATACAAAAAATAACTCAAAATGATTTATAGACTTAAAGACAAAATCTAAAACTATTAAACTTCTGGAAGGAAATATAAGAAAAGGAAAAGACAAGCTACAGACTGGGAGAAAATACTTTGCCCATTCTTAATATTGAGTTGATGATTTCTTTATTATTGGGTTTCAAGAGTATTATAGATAAAAGTCCTGTATCAGATGTATGTTTTGGAAATGTTTTTATTCAGTTTTTTGTTTGTATTTTTATTCTTTAAACAGAGTCTTTTATAGATCGGGCATTTTTAAGTTTGATAAAGTCCATTTTATCAATTAGTTCCTTGATGGATCATGCTTTTGGTATCATATTGAAGAAATCTTTGTCTAACCCATAGTCACAAATGTTTTCTCCTAGAAGTTTTATAGTTCCAGGTTTTACATTTAGGATTATAATCCATTTTGAGTTACTATATAGTCCAAGGTTTAAATTAAAGTCAAAAAGATTTTTTTAAGTTTGAAAATATTTATAAGTCAATGAAGGATTTGTATCTAGAATGTATAAAGAATAAACTCCCAAAATGAGAAAACACACAACCCAGTGAAATAAGCAAAGTCAATAAACAGATGCTTCATCAAAGAAGATATCCAGATGGCAAGTAAGCATATGAAAAGATGCTCAATGTTATTAGTTACTAAGAAAATGCAAATTAAAACCACAGTGAAATACTACTACTCAACTATTAGAATGGCTGAAATTAAAAAGACTGGTCAAACTTTGGTCAAACAAAGTATTGGCAAGGATGTGGAGGAAATAGAATTTTCATAGGCCGCAGGTCAGATTTGTACAATTACTTTGAAAAACAGTTTGGTAGTTTCTTGAAAAAGTTAAGCATACACCTACTATGTGATCCATTCTTTCACTCCTAGATATTTACCCAAGACAAATGAAAACATATGTCCGTACAAAGCTGCTATGAATGTTCACAGCAGCTTTTGGTAATAGCCAAAAACTGGAAACAACCCAAGTGCTCATTAATAGATGAAGGGACAGACACATTTTGTATATCCATATATATTAGTTTCCTAGGGCTGCCATAACAAAATTGTGGCTTTAACAACAGATGTTTATTGTCTCACAGTTCTGGAGGCTAGAAATCCAAAATCAAAGTGTTACCAGGACTGGTTCCTTCTGTGGGCTGTGAGGGAGATACACTCCATGCCTCTCTCCCAGCTGCTGGCAGCCTCAGACATTCCTGGACTTGTATGTGATGGTCTCCCTGTGTCTTTACATCATCTACCCTCTGTGCATTTTTCTGTGTCCAAATTTCTGTGTTTTAGAAAGACACCAGTCATCTTGGACTAGGAACCACGCTAATGACCTCATTTTAACTTGATTACCTCTATAACGACCCTATTTCCAAACAATGTCACATTCTGAAGCACTGGGGGGTTAGGACTTCAACGTGTCTTTTTTGGGGGGACACAATTCAATCCATAACACCATACAATGGTTACTATTCTGTAATAAAAAGCAAGCACATGAATGAATCTGAAAATATTTATGAGTAAAAGAAGCCAGACCAAAAAAGAAATAGCACATACTATATAGTTCCATTTATATAAAATTACAGAAAATGTAAACTAATCTATAAACTCTACTTTCTTTACAGAAGGCAGATCAGTGATTGCCTGAGGACGGGGGTATGTGGAAACTTTCAGAGGTGGTGAATATGTTTGCTATTTTTATTGTGATGATTGTGATGTCATCATGCAGACAAAATGATTTAGAGACAAAACAATCAAATTCAAAGTCGGTAGAATGAAACCACACAGAGAAATAACCCCATTACTGGCAATGTTGGGTATCATTACCCAGGAGAAAGGCACCAGTCGTTCTCCCCTCTAGCTGCATCATCATGTCAGTTGCGCTCTTTCTGTTAATGTAGTGGACTCCAAGCCCTCTCGGCCCCTTACCTAGTGGGAACCCTTCCATGTTTCCTGTTCCCTCTAGTTGCTGTTAGTAAGGCAGAGAGTGTCAGCAGAAGGGAGCAGCTGTATCAAATGCTTTGATCCAACTATGTAGCCAGGCACTGACCCACATTGTCAGGGCAGAAATAATGGAACCCCAACTCGTTTCCCTGCCTTTTTTTGTTGTTTTGGTGATTCATTTTTTTCTTAAATATTGGGGAAGTGAGAGAATAGATTTGCACGTTCCTCCTAGGCAGTGTTCTATATAAATAGATTTGTGTATCAGTTTTGCCCATTATTGGATCCTTAGGCAAGATATTTTATTTTTCTGGGTCTTAGCTTCTTTAACTGAAAGATAGAGGCAATCATATCTATTGCAATTTAACCAGATTTGATAACATCTACAGTTATTTCATGTGAACACACTTTAAGAAGAATTTTTTTTGTTTATGTAATAAACTTGGGCATTGTACTATTGCCAGCCATTGTTCTAAGCAATGTACAAATATGAATTCATTTAATTTTAATAACAATCATATGATATAGGTATTGTTTTCCTCATTTTTGAAGGTTGGATAACTTAACCAATGTCACAAAGCCATAATATGACAGAACTGGGATTCGAACCAAAGAGCACAGTCTGCCTACAGAGTCTGTGTTCTTAAACACTAGGCATTGCTGCCTTATATTTGGGATTAAGTGTAAAGTAGTTCTAAGAGGAAAAAAATTCATGTAACTCACTAAAAATGATAGTCACTTGTGTTGAGGCAACAGTTTGCATTATACAACATTAAATAATACTTGTGCTTAATTATTTTTACTACCTACCAAAGTTTCCAGCACACACTAGGCACATACACATTGATTAGTTGACTCATCACACAGTCTAGTCTCAATTAGCCAAACTGACAAAACACGGAGATCAAGCAAGTGATAGCAAAGCATTTATGTTTTGCCTGTGAATATCTAATATGCCAGAGCAAGACGGAGAGGATATTTGTCTGCAATCCCCCTTCCTAAACATACTGTCCCTAGCATATTTACTAAATTGTCCCTCAGACATTCTGCAAGATGTCAGTAAATTTTCTCTTTCTCTCCTTAAAAATATTATTTTCTCCAGTTCTGAAATCATTTTACTCTTTCAGAATTTATGAGTCTGTAACTCATTTTTATTCAGTAAGCTCTTTGAAACCAAAGCAGGGTCTACTCCAGGTTCTATAGACCGTCAGCTCAGGGATTCATCTAGACTGAGTTTCATCTGGAGTGTCAACTCTGGACAATTGTGTCTCTCTTGGAGCAACGGATAGAAGAGTTCTGAGGCTGGCATCTGGCTTCATCATGTGGAGCGTCATCTCCAGGGGACTAGGGGAGTCATGGCCATAGGGTCACACTTACTTCCATCCCAGTGGCCCAGCTCCTTACTCACTACTATGCGTCCAACAATCAAAGTACAATAATAATTGTGAGAGATGCACACATCATTGTTAAGGGGATCCTCAAATGGTGAGAAAGACACCTTCACTTTATTAAACTGAAGTCCAGTAAACATAAGAGCCAGCAAAGTCGATTTCTGCTTGTCACTCTTAAAAGTCAGCCAGGATTCTACTCTATACTTTCTCAACTTTAAATGACTGCCCTCTCAAGTAAGAGATTCAGGAAGAAAGGTCATTAGAAATCCCTTTAACCTCAAAGTTGAGAGGCTAGAGATGATGCAGGTCGATTCAAGGGTGGGAATGGGACCCGAGAACCTAGTGCTTTGTCAATTTAACGTAAGGACCCTGGTCTTCTGTGAGCACTGGTTTACCTGTCTATGAAATGTCACCTATTTCTCAAGGTTGAGTCACTGGAAATACAATAATGTATTTACAGGATAAAGGTAGGGAATATTTGAAAACAAGTAGAGTTCTTTTTCCTAATATTAACTTAGACAAAATCAATGTTTAATGAAGTAAATGACAGCACTAAAAAAAATAATAATTTATTTGAAATGCTCCCTACAGGAGGAAATGACTCACTTTTCTTCCACCAAGCAGCCTGCTTCCTAGGAACCTAAGGAGAGAGTGTCTATAGGAAGAAAAGGAAAAATTCAAAAAACCTTGGTGGACGATTGAAGAAACAAAGATTAGGTTAGCGCCTGCTTTGTACGGAAAAGGCTTGAGATCAGAGGGGCAGCGACTATCTCAGAACACAATGCTGTTCCCGTGTTTACTTTTCCTCTTACCGCTTTCCCCTGCACAAAGGCACAGGAAAGCATGCTCATTCTCTCTGCCTCAGAGACCTCTGGCAACATAAAATACCCACTGGTGCTTGGATGTCTTCTCCATTCATTGTGGCGGATCTCTTCAGGGCAAAGATTTCACAGGCACATACATATGGTTGAGCAGCCTGAGGCATCCATGAAAGCCTATAGCAGAAAAGGAAATTACAAAGCATGTAAGAATATTTCTGCCATTTTAACTTTAGAATATTAGAAATAGACTTTTCAAATTGAAAGTAGTCCAATGAGTTTAAATATCTAGTTATTAGTTTTCCTAATAAACTGCAGAAATGAAACTGGACCTTTAATCCCTCCAAAACAAAACCGATGGATAGAACTGTGTCATTTCACAAGGTGACTTTTTTCCAAAGCCTTTGACTATCAACGTTAAAAAGGATGACATTCAGTAAGAGCTAAAAGCCTCACATTATTCACTCCTATTTGAGCTTCTCTTGAATGTGGTCTCTGATCACGGTGTTTCTGGATAGACTCCCTTTGTAGCAGCTGCCCAGTGATCCATTAAAGTGACAAGCAAAGGGCCACATGGTGGGCTGAGAGCACTTAGTGTAACACTGACAGGAGAGATGACAAAAAGGTTTCCTCCAGCAAGTTACAAAGATGCCTCTACAACCGGGAGCAGAGGGAGTACTTTCAAGGTAAAGCACAGAATAATCTTTGAAACTCCAAGGATTGGAAATGGAATTGTGAAGCTATGAGGCCAAACGAATCAAAGCAATTTTAAATTAGTATTAGAAACCTAAGAACGCAAAGCTTGTAAGAGAATTTGCTACAATAACGCTCCAATTATTACCTCTTGCCAATGGGTTAAAGTGTCACCTTTATGATGTTCTCTGGACATCACTAAGTAGACGACACCATCCATCGTTGTCACTTTAATAGCCTAGATTATTTATGCTAACACAGAGTTAAGATGGATGACAGAGAACTGTAGGTAACCTCCCTGGGATTTTTGTTTTAGCCAACAGACATTAATACCCATGATTCTTACTATCTCAGAGGTCAAATTCTGTAGAGCAAAGTCTGAGAAAGGTGTGAAAACTGCTTCATTGACAGAGGCCTTGTAAGGAATTCCATTTCTAGTTAAGGTGAGCAACAATGAGATGGACTGAAAAGTACATGCTACATGCTCTCTATCTGTCTGACAAAAAATTGTAAAATAAATAAAAGTAGTAAACAACAGGCTCATATGTTTCCTTTTTAACTTCTTATTATGAAATAATTGTAGACTTACAAGAAGGTGCACAAAAGAATAGACTGGAACCCATCTTTCCCTAATGGTGACGCCTTTTATAACTGTAGTACAAAATCAAAACCAGTAAATTCACATTGGCACAATACTATTAATGAGGTTACAGACCTTATTTAATTTTCACTCATTGTGTGTGTATAACCTACTATGGTTTTATGGGCAAGTTCTACCAAACTTTTAAGAAACAGATTATTCCAATCATATAATAGAGTGTACCACATGAAATGTCAATATTAGGTCAGTTGTAAATTTGTAAACTACAAAGTTGTAAATTGGCTGTAAATATGATTCCATTTGTGCTACTCAGAATTTACAATGGTACTGTGCTCCTTAATTTTGCTTGGTTATTGAGTTGATTTTTTACTTTACTTTTCCACAGAAGTAAACAATAACATCTGTGAAAGAAATGGAAATCATTTTTTATATCAGTTTACATTGGAACATCATACACCTGAAGCAAACAGAAGCATCATCAGGCCAATAGAAAAGCTCTCTAGTAAAAGGATTACTGAATGATAGTTCAAAAATTTTGTTCTGGGAATCTGATTTTCAAAATTGAATCTCAAGAGAGATTCAAATGTGTTTTAAATAAAAATCAATTAATTAAAAGCTAACCCAGAAACAATAATTCAAAGATTTGTAGCAAACTTAAGGATAGTAAGTATCTCAGTAGTATATCAACACTTGGCTACAACAGAAAATGTGAAAAAATTGGAGAAGTGGGCACACTGATGGGTGTTCAAAAACTGAGACCCATTTTGGAAAGGACCAAAGTCTTTGACAAAGAAAATAGAAACTGTACAACAGTCAAAAGCAATCTGGACAGGAGCTGGATACTGTTAAAGTACACAAATATGCACAGAACATCACTGCAACTAGAGAAGATTCTGGTGACTCATGTGGCCTGTAAAATCCAGGTAAAACAACTAACAACATCATTATGTTGCCCTTAGCATACTCATTGGAACTTTCTCCAGTGGACTACTACCACTTTCCTTATCTGGAGCTCTAAAAAACAAAACCTTTCCCAATTAAGAAATAGTAAGTTGGAGGACTTTGGAACAGTTTATGCTACATAAAACCATCAAATTTAAAAAAGTTGAATATAGTACTTAATATGTCAATGTAATGGTACATATGTATTGGCTAAAACTTATTTTTTCCCAAAGCTCCACAACTTTCATTATTATCTACAAGAACAGTAATTTCTTGTGGTTTATGGTATAAAATTTTCCAGAGAGCAGAAAAGTAGAAGGACACTCTTCAATTCATTTCTGAAGCCAGTACCACTGTAACACCAAAATCAGACAAGGACCATAAAATTAAAACAAATTATAGAACAATATCACTCATTTATCTACATGAAAAAGAAATCCTAGACATGATAAAAGCATACTAAATCCAGTAACATGTAAAGAACAAAAACTACACTCTGACCACATTGGGCTTATTCTAGACATGCAGGAGTGGTTACCATTAGAAAAATCTCTAAATGTAATTCATCACATTAATATAGAAGGAAAATGTACAAACACCTCAATAAGAGCACAAAGAGCATTGATAAAATTCCACACCCATTTATAATTTTAAAAAACCTCATGGCAAAGGCACAGTAAAAAATAGAAGGGAACTCTCTTAATATGATTAAGGTTATCTATCCAAAACCTACACCAAAAAACATAAAGGTGAAATATTGGAAGCATGCCCTTAAAAATAAAGTGTGAAAGAATGTTACCCACTACCACTGTGTCCGTTCCACATTGTTCTGGTGGTCCTGGACAGAGCACTAAATCAAGAAAAAGAAATAAAGAATATAACGATTAGAAAGGGGGAAATAAAATTGTCATTATTCACACCAGATTGTCTACATAGTAAACCCCAAATAACCTACAAATTATAATAATCAATAATAGAAGCAACCAAGTTTGAGATGTAAAATTACTATTCAAAAGTCATTTCCACACACAATTTCTATAAAACATGTTAGAAATTGTAGTTTCAAGAGAGAAACCAATTTAATGGCAAAGAAAGGGTAACTTGGAATAAATTTTGCAAACTATGTGCAAGACCTTCTTAGAGAACATTTTAAAATGTTATTGAAAGACATTAAAGATGAATTAAATAAACAGAAAGATACACCATTGTTAATGGATAGAAAGACTCAATGTTGTAAAGACAACAGTATTATTGAAAAGATTCTAAATTTGTAAATATTATAAAGATATCAATTTGCATCAATTTACCTATACATTATTTACAATGCTTGTCAAAATCCAAACTGGCATTTTCTTAGAGGAATTCGACAATTTAGTTAAAAATCTATATTGAAAGGAAAAAAAACAAGAAAATGGGCAGAAGAAGATGATGAGGGGACTTGAACTATCAAATCTCAAAACTTATTATAAGCCTTTAGTAATTAAAACATTCTTCAAGGGGCCAGCCCCGTGGCCAAGTGCTTTAGTTCACATGCTCCACTTCAGTGGCATGGGGCTTGCCAGTTGGGATTCTGGGTGCGGACCTACACACTGCTCATCAAGCCATGCTGTGGTGGCATCCCACATAGAAGAACCAGAATGACTTACAAATAGGATACACAACTGTGTACTGGGGCTTTGGGAAGAAAAAAAAAGAGGAAGATTGGCAACAGATGTTAGCTCAGGGCCAATCTTCCTCACAAAAAGAAAAAAAAAGCAGATTGTTCAGTGGAGCTAAGAAGAGCGCATAGAAAGACACACATCTATACAGAAACTTAAGTAATAGAGGTGGCATTACACATCTGTAGGAAAAGACAGGCCAAATTGGATCCCTACCTCACATGATACGTGAAATAGAGTCTAGGTATTTTTAAAATTTAACTATGTAAAATAAAACTTTAAAACTTTTAGAAGAAAACAAAAGAGGATTTTTACAACCCTGGAGTAGGGGGATGCATCTTAAACAAGACAGTAAAGCTCTAAGTATAAAAGATTCAAAATTCTGATGTTAAAATTAAGAACTCATGGAGTTGACATCAGCATCATGGTGGAGTGAACTTCCCCTCCAACATACAACAAAAAGGGACATCCATACTCCAACAGAAGACATTCTAACAACACAAAACCCTCAGAGAAACACGCAGCCACACAATGGAGGGCGGAGAGGCTGGAGCCCCCCTCGGAGGAGCTGGAATGGGGTAAGAGAGAACTTCTCTCCCTCCCCTAAAAACTGCAGTCGCTGCTGCAGGAGACTCCATGAGGGAAGGAGCAGGGCAGGGGTCACTTGGTTGTGGGATCACCCAGGACTCCCATGGGCCCTTGCAGCCTAGAGGGAAGCCCTCTAACGGGGTGAAAGCTTTCATGGAGGGTGACCTCATCAAGCCAACACCCCAGGAGACAAGATAGTGAGAGCTGATCAAGAAACCCTGGAGTGTACACAGGAGAAACTGCCCCTCCCCCCACCCACCCCGCGCCATCTCGGCTGAAGGCAGAGGGCTCAGAATACGTGGCTCTTGACCCCCACCCAGTGGTGATAGCTGGCAACTGCAACTGAATAATATCACAGTGGGAAAGCCCCGTCCTTCCAGCATCAGACACTACATCAAACCTCCAGACTAGAAAGAAAATTCAAGCACCCAGAACTCAGTCCTGAGGATACAGAAATACGTAAATTAAATGACAATGAATTCAAAATAGCTATCACCAAAAAACTCAATGAGGTAAAAGAGAATGTAGAGAAACAATTCAACGAGTTCAGGAGCTACTTCACAAAAGACACTGAAACTACAAAGAAGAATCAGTCAGAAATATTAGAGATGAAAGAAACAATGGAAGAGATAAAACAAAGTACAGATTCCCTGGATGCTCGAGTGGACATCAGAGAGGAGTGTATCAGCATAGTCAAAGATAGAGATGTTGAAATGCTCCAGACAGAGGAGGAGAGAGAACTAAGACTAAAAAGAAATGAAGAAAGTCTCCAAGAAATATGCAACATAAGAATTATAGGTATTCAAGAAGGTGAAGAGAAGCAGAATGGAGCAGAAAATAGGTTCAAAGAAATAATAGCAGAGAACTTCACAAATCTAGGGAAAGAGAGGGAAATATGTGTGGAAGAAGCTTCCAGATCTCCTAGATTTGTCAATGTAAAAAGACCTACTGCAAGGCACATAGTAGTAAAACTGGTAAAAATTAATGACAAAGAAAGAATACTCAGGGCAGCAAGACAGAAGAAAATAACCTACAAAGGAACCCCAATCAGGCTTTCAGCGGATTTCTCTGCAGAAACCTTACAAGCTAGGAGAGAATGGAATGACATATTCAAAACTTTAAAAGATAAGAATCTTCAGCCAAGAATACTCTATCCAGCAAAAAATATCCTTCAGATATGAGGGAGAAATTAAGTCTTTCCCAGACAAACAAAAGCTAAGGGACTCGTAGCCCCGAGAACCCCCCTACAAGTACTACTCAAGAAGACCCTCATACCTGAAAGAAGAAAAAAAGGGAGAAAGGGGACACAAAACATAAAGTAAGGAGATAAATAGATAGACAGAATCAGAATAGGATAGCAAATATGCAACTATAGCATTAGGCTAAAGGGAAGGAAAACACGAAAAACAAAGACAATCTTGTCACTTTAACCACCAACTCACAACACAAGTTGGAATAAGATGTGAGAAAAACAACTTAGGAGGGGAGGAGGAAAGGGACTGAATTGGTTTAGACTAAGGAAATAAGAGGCCATCAGTAAATAGACTATCTTATACAGAAGATTCTGAATACAAACCTCAGGGTAACCACTAAACAAAAAAGCAGAACAGAGACACAAAAAATGAATAAGGAAAAAACAAAGAAACACACCATAAAAAACTACATAACTCAATTGGTAGACCAAAACACACAGGACAAGAAACAAAGGAAATGCAGGAAAATCGGAAAATGAGTGATACAAGGACAGCATTAAGCCCTCATACATCAATAATCACCCTAAATGTAAATGGATTGAATTCTACAATGAAAAGACACAGGGTGGAGAGATGGATTAAAGACAAGACCCAACAATTTGCTGCCTCCAGGAAACACATCTCAGCTCCAGTGACAAACACAGGTTCAGAGTGAAGGGGTGGAAGATGATACTCTAAGTTAATGGCAAACAAAAGAAAGCAGGTGTTGTAATACTTATATCAGACAAAGTAGACTTCAAGATAAGACAGGCAAATAGAGACAAAGAGGGGCAGTATAAAATGATCAAAGCGACACTCCATCAAGGAGAAAATAATGCTTATAAACAGCTATTCACCCAACACAGGAGCACCAAAGTTCATAAAGCAATTATAAACAAACCTAAAAGAAGGTATTAAAAATAACACAATAACAGTAGGGGACCTCAACACCCCACTCACATAAAGGATAGATCATCCAGACAGAAAATCAAGAAGGAAACAGTGAATTAAATGAAAAGCTAAACCAGTTAGACTTAATAGGCATATTTAGAACACTCCATCCAAAAACAGCAGAGTACACATTCTTCTCAAGTGCACATGGAACATTCTCAAGGATAGACCATATGTTGGGAAACAAGGCAAGCCTCAGTACATTTTTAAAAATTGAAATAATAACAAGTATCTTTCCCTATCATAATGCTATGGAGCTAGAAATTAATTACAAGAAAAAAGCGGAGAAAGGGACAAAGATGTGGAGACTAAACAACATGCTATTGAACAAGAAATGGATCATTGAAAAAATTAAAGGAGAAATCAAAAAATATCTGGAGACAAATGAAAATGATAACATACCACATCAACTCATATGGGATGCAGCAAAAGCTGTATTAAGAGGGAAATTCATCACAATATAGGCACACCTTAACAAACAAGAAAAATCCCAAATAAGCAATCTCAAATTACACCTAACCCAATTATAAAAATAAGAACAAACAAAGCCCAAAGTCAGAAGGAGAGAAATAATAAAAATCAGAGCAGAAATAAATGCTATTGAAACAAAAAAGGCAGTAGAAGGGATCAATGAAACAAACAGCTGGTTCTTTGAGAAGATAAAAAAAATTGACAAACCCCTAGCCAGACTTGAAAAGAAAAAAAAAAAAGAGAAAGCTCAGATAAAGAAAATCAGAAATGAAAGAGGAGAAATAACAACAGACTCTGCAGAAATACAATGGATTATAAGAGAATACTACAGAAAACTATATGCCAACAAAATGGATAACCTAGAGGAAATGGATAAATTCTTAGACTCTTACAACCTCCCAAAGCTGAGTCAAGAAGAAACAGACAATTTGAATAGATTCAGTAATTAACAGTAATCAAAAGCATCCCAAAGAATAAAACCCCAGGACCAGACGGCTTTCCTGGGGAATTTTACCAAACTTTCAGAGAGGAATTAATACTCATCCTTCTCAAGCTATTGCAAAAAATTAGGGAGGATAGAACACTTCCTAATACATTCTATGAAGCCAACATCACTCTGATACCAAAGCCTGAAAAGGACAGTACAAAAAAGGAGAACTACAGGCCAACATCGCTGATGAACGTAGACACAAAAATCCTCAACAAAATTTTGGCAACCTGAATTCAGCAATACATCAAAAGGATCATACATCATGATCAAGTGGGATTCATACCAGAGACACAGGGATGGTTCAATATCTGCAAATCAATCAACGTGATACACCACATCAACAAATTGAGGAATAAAAACCACATGATCATCTCAATAGATGCAGAGAAGGCATTTGACAAGATCCAACAGCCATTTATGATAAAAACTCTTAACAAAATGGGGATAGAAGGAAATTGCC